ATTCTACAATAAATCAGATATGCCTTGGAATTACCTAAAAAACAGCGACAACATTCAATGGTGGAATAACGTTCAAAATGTCCGTCAAAACCATCAGGGAAACGACAATACATTCAACGTTTTGGCTGCAGTAGCGGAAAATCCGAATATAAATTTAAGAACAATTCTTCCTCAGATCAATTTCTTCGATTATGTACTCTGGTCCCGGAAGATGATAAACAAATAGCATCTGATGCAGCTGATGCAGCATTACATTCACTAAAAAAACATTACCCAATAAACGCTTTTTCTTGTGTCGGTGTCGGTTAGTTGAAACAGAATTAAATATGAAAATCGTTCGACGTCAAACAACCATAACTCCCATAACTTAGATGCGATGCGCTTGTATTTTGTTAAAAGATTTCAAAGCATCGCTGATTTATAAAAACGTAATTTTTGTTTTGTGAATTTCTACGGTTTTGAAAAACGGAAAATTATAAGTAATAGTATGTACAGATACAGTATTTTTTCTCTAAAAAAAAAACGTATTTAGACTTTTGCTCTAAAATAATCAGGGGGGCTAGTACGAGTAATTGGCTATAAAGAAATTACCATTGAAATCCCTATACTGCGTCGCGCTAGGCACCACCCTGTGTAGCAGTGTAGATACGGATATGTTTTAATTTTAAATGTCATGATTAAGAGGGATGCAGCAATTGTTTTTTTTACTTTCCGCACTAGAGAGGAAAACGATCTAAAAGGTGACGTAAGGGACTAGTAAGCCTTAAAAAAGAACTCGACATTCCTTATTTTTTATTATTAACAATCCTCGAGATCGTTTATAATTTTTTATTGCCGTCTGTCTGTCCGTGTGCACGATAACTTGGTGTAGAAACGTCCGATCGCTTTGAAAATTGATACACATGCTCTTCAGGATATAAGAAAGGTCGCTATTGTTTTTCAACTGAGCCAAAAGGTTACAGCCCAAAAACTGCACAAACTTCCAAAAAAAGGGTTTCTTTTACAATCATTGTTACAAATAACATGAATGTCCGGTTTTCTGTGCTGTGCGCAATTCGATTTTTTGACATTTCCGTTAGTTATGAACCGAATTGCATGAAATTTTGTATGTAGGCTTCTCGAATGAAAGTAAAACTAATGCCGAATCAAAAGATTTATTTGACAAGCACTAGTATGTGCGAAGATCTCGAGGATCGTTTGGTATTCAGTTGTATCGGATTTGTCTTATAGAGATTAGGATGAAAAAAAAGTTTGAATGCAATTTAAATTACAAAAAGACTAACCACAAACCATAATAAGTATATCACTTATTATTTATTCTTGGTCTCCAAATAGTATTTTTCCATGTTTTTCGTGGCACTTTTTCAAGTGTAACTAAAGTGTTCCCTACGGATCAACCTCAAGTAACTTGTAAGTGAAGAGATTCGTTAAAATCTCGCACCTTACATAAAATCTTTCCTCCGGTGTCTAAGAAAAAACTATTTCAACGCCACTATTAAATTCGAGTTTATTTTGGTTCTTTTTATCACCGGCATGTCGACGTAAATTGTATAATGATCTATAATTAAATTCGGGTTCTTACAAGACGTCTTAGTCTGTATTTAAGATAGCTTCCAAATGTGAAGCCCTACAGGTTGTAAAGTTACCCACAAACTATTACTAATGCTAAAACGGAATTTTTCCTCACCAAAATGTGTCTCTTCCGGGTAACTTGTTGGGCAGATCCGCACATAAAACTCTGATGCACAAAGAAGAAACCGAAACTTCATCACAGATTAATAATACACTGATATCACAAGAGGTAGAAATAATATTCGTTTATAATATTTCAGTTAGTCCCAGTGACCATGTCTGTCTAGCGTCTGCTATATAAAATCAATGTGGGGGCGCATGTACCCTAACTGGTAGGGGACAAAACAACACCACCACGGTGTGTGCATTTCATTTTCTTTACTGTTCAGATTTTGTTTATTTATCCATACGAAAAACAAATGAAACCAGTAGATGGGTGTAACAGAATTTTACATGCAGCCTGAAAAAGCTCATCGATAAAAAATTGTAATTGCTCAATGTACGACGAGCGCTAACACATTATTTCCATTGGAAATTAATAGCGCCTATCGTATTTCCGAAAATAAACTCAGTGCGCCAACAATGGGTGACACAGGGTCACCTTTCGGTCTGGTGATTATAGAATGAGTCATCCACTGGACCGAAGGGGCGGTAAGCGTGGCGAAATGGTGCGTGTTACCAACCCTATAAGCGACAGCTGGATTACTGTATCTGATTATAGAAATGCCACCAAAGTTTGTTGAATGGAAACGTATACTTTTGTGTGTGGCGAGTTTTACCCGAGGCCTGCAATGTTTTAATTTAGTGAGCATTTTTTCACTTCCACTCAACTAGAGTAGACATGAGGAAGCGCCTGCTTTTAACTACTCTTTGATAGAATCTGAGTATCAAAAGGTACAGTAGCTAACGTACAGAACATGCCCAAAATAGTTCTTACCTTACCCTGAAAAGCCCTTCTTCGGTAATATAGTGAAACTTCGTAATAGAAGCCATTTGTGTCAATTTACCTCATTATCCACTGAAATTAAAATGAAAAAGTACACCAAAGCTCGGTATAAAAAGCAACTACCTAACTACAGTCACGTTTTAAAGAGGGAAAATTGCTACGTATCTTGCGACTGTACCATTTCTCGTAAATTAATAGAAATATTAGCAGCGCTTTTTTTATGGATATCTACAAAAAAAGGGGTGACTTTTTTCGAATTTTACTAATAGCTATTGGCTATTGGTTTACTTGTGTTACTCTTCATCTTTGATAATCAAACCATTCATATAATTTTCCAATACTCAGATGAGGATCATCAATATTCAAATTCAAAATTACGAGTAGGCCCGAGCAGGGCCGTGCGGTGCTATGATACAGAGAGGCGGCACCGTAGAGGGGCAGCAAAAGATGTGCTTTTTTACCACCAGAGCACTGGGAAAAGCTGAAGCGGCAATTTTCTCAGAAGATTGTTGCAGGAAAATGTTGAATTTGGATTTTTGTTCTACCTATTACTTATACAACTTATATTCATATGTTCAATTATAATCACCCTTAATTCGCTGCAAGACTGACACTTCTAAAAACCCATCGCGAAAATTTCCATTGATACTTTTATATACAGTGTGTCCCAGATCGCGTGGGATTGCATGGGTAACTTTGTTATTATTAAAGATAGAGAATTGGTTAAATGGGCAATGTTTTGTAGTTTTAGATGCTTATTTAAAATTTCCTTATGGAAATTCAAAATGTTTGACGTAAATTCAAAAAAACTAAAATTAGTCATTTCCTTGAATGTCTTATATCATCGAAAGTATAAGAGATATAAAAAAAAGTTTTATATAAAAGTGACTGTCTTTGATACGCTTAATTTAGAATTGATCTCAAAAAAAATTTGAGATGGCCACTTTTGAGGAACATCTACCAACTTCCTAAAGTTAAATGGGCGCCATATTGGATTTTTAGATTACTTGATAGATTTTTTAATTCTCTTTTCAACGAGCTATTATAACATAAGATTGAAAATAAGATACCAGTTATATTAACGGTTTTTGTATTTTAATCAAGTAGTCTGTGACGAATAAAAAGAAACAAAACAAAATCTAATCGAGGCAACAAAACAATGAAAATAATTACACCTGATGTTTAAAATACTGGCCATTATTAGTGAAACACACTTCAAGACAGTTTAGTTTAGGCAACGTGTTGCCATTGATGATTATTATTGTTATTGCAGTAGTGGTAGCTACTTCCACTTTACTTTTATTTTTTAATTAAGTACTTACTTTTATAATTTAATGTACTGTACATAATTCGTGAATTGTGACCTGAGCAGCCAGCTTGTTGGTAGGTAGCATAAACCAACCCTTTCTTCGAAACATACGTTGTCGATAAAAATCCTTTAAGGAAGTTTATTGGAGAATTTGTAAATCATAGTGAGCAGTTAAAGATCCAACGAAGATTACCGGTCCAACTACATGATTTCCCATTATGCCATAAAATACATTAATTTAAAAAAATATTACTTGATTTCGGCGTGAAACTACAACACGTAGGTTTTCCTGTGACGGGTATAGTGTTCATTATGTCGATTTGAACACAAGATTCATCTGTCCATATACTCGGACTGGTAAAACTGTTAGTTTCGATATTCTTGCGGATAAACCACCTATAAAATGTGACCTGGGACAATGCATCAATGGTAATACATTGTGTAAAATAAAGCAAAGTGTCTTGAAATGTGTTTAACTGGATAATGGCATGACATTTTTTCGAGGGGATAGTTTGTAGTTATACCATGTTATAAAAATCAAAATTTTTCTAGGGCTACTTATATAAAATTTGGGAGGGAGTTGTAATGCCCAAACCCCCCTCTCATGAGTGCGCCCCTGATTTTTTAAACATCTGATGTAATTATTTTCATTGTTTTGTTGGCTCGAATAGATTTTGTTTTTTTTTTTTAATTCATCACAGCCTACTTGATTAAAATATAAAAACTGTTGATATAACTGGTATCTTATTTTCAATCTTATGTTATGATGGCTCGTTGAAAAGAAAATTAAAAATCTATCAAGTAATCTAAAAATCCCATATAGCGCCTATTTAACTTTAGGAAGTTGGTAAATGTTCCTCAAAAGTAGCCATCTTGAATTTTTTTGACATAAATTCTAAATTAAGCGTATCAAAGACCGTCATTTTTATATAAAACTTTTTTTTATATCTCTTATACTTTGATAATTTCGGAACATCCCCATGGACAGAATTTTTATCCACTACAAACTGGGAGTTAAAAAATTACAAATACTAAATTTTGTTCAGATTCGCGCCACAGTGTAGGTGGTGAAATATTTGTTAAATGGAATCTTAAAACGGTCCAGAATATCCCTTGATTCGCATAACAGTTTATGGAATTTGTAATATTCGAAAGGAAAATCGTAATTTGAACTTACCCGTTTGTGATATGTGCAGGCATAGCTTGTAATCTCCTCGAATACAATGCGGTACCACCTTCCGACATGTATCCATCACACAAATCTCTAGAGGAAGGGTTGCGAAGTACTTCGCCGTCCGATAAATAACCATTTGCCAAAGAAATTTCACAATAATCACTAGTGTCAGGTACGGTTGCGTAGTTTCTGGAACGTCCAGGAAGAGTCAAGGTGCTGCAATAACCCCTAAACAAAGGCCTCATAGGTTCCACATTCATCGAGACCAAATCGTCGTCGCCCTGTGACCCTTCCCGAACGTGATTCACAACGATATTGATATGGCTAAGAGGTTTTTCGGGTATTTGGTCAAGGTGACGATTCTGTTCCGTTACGTCGCTGAGGTATTCCAGCGGCTCCTTCCGATTTGGTATGATGTTGGTATGTTCAGATCCACTTTCACTAGACGGTTTGTATATGACACTGCTATCGCTGGAGTTGCTGTGATGGCCGGTGGACGCACTGTGACTGCTCTCCGATAGCTGATGGTCGATATTATTTTTCATAGGCGATACCAATGCGACTGTCGCTTTTGGAATTGCAATACTCGCCTGTGAACTTTCTCTGGATATTGTTGTGGGCGACTTGATGGCGGAGGTGTTTTTATCCTCGCGTGGGACTTTGCTCGTGCCTTTAATTGCGGCGGTCGGTTTCGGTATTCCGGTCCCAGGTGCGAGCGTAGGAGGTCCTTGAGGTAGATTTTTATTTAGACCCACATCGGATTTACAAACAGGTGCTTTCATTTTAGACTCCGTTAATTTGGTGACAGACAGTCCGGCTACTTTCTGTGCGTGTTTTTCTACTTCGACCGCGGTTTTCGTCACTTTCAGTTCTTTCTTATTCGATACGGGACTGCTTTTCGACGTCACGTTCTTCTGCGGTCTCTGTTTAATTCTCGAATTGTTTCTAACGGGTTTAATGTCCGAATTTGGATCTAAACTAACACTACTGTCGGATCTTTCACTTCTTGCGGAGGACACACCACTTGAACTACTAGTCCTTTTTCCGGTAGGTGTAGGCGTCGGTCTGTCTCCTGATTTGAATAACTTTAACTTATCTAACATGGAGTTCTTCTGTTGAGGTGGAGATTGATATGGACTATTTACGGCAGGCGGTGGTGGCACGCGAGGTATCATGGACATTGCGGGACTGGTAGCTCTGCTTGAACCCGCCACTGGTCTTATTTTGTCGGGTGGGCATTTTCTCGAGGGTAGCGCAGACCCAGGCAGCGGGATGCTCGAACCGCCTTTGTGGGCACCCACTAAGGACCTGAAATAATAAACATTTATCAGTCTTGCGTATTGTGTAAACAGTTTTTTTTTTGTGTAAAATTAATTTGTAAACTCACGTCCACCACTACAGGCATAAACATAAACACTTGTCGGTACTACAACTCATGTACGAATAAATTGCAGACATGCTTAAGATTGCGACACGATCACGTGCAAGTGGCTAGAACCATTAGAGTGACAAGCAAGTAAATGAAGTCATTGAAGCAATTACGTCATGCGGTTTAATTAGCAATAAATGAAGAGAACTTCTAATACAGGAAGTTGATTTAAGAGATCATCTTTTTCATATACTTTCAATGTATCTCGTAAAGTGCAAGTTTGTCAATGTAGTCAGGGGCGGACTGGGTCACTGCGGGCCAGGTGGAATTGGGGGGAGGGGGGGTTAGCTCTGAGGTGCACCACAAAAACATTATAAGGTACTCCTTTCTCGAAAATAAATTACCATGCAGTTTTTTTAAATTGCAGCTGATAATTAAAAGTAACAAAATATACAATCCACACGAGGTGCGTCGCCTATCATTGTATTTCAGCACTTTCATGCTACGCCAAAAAATGATAAATTCATTGTAAAACACTTCAATTAAAACAGAATTTTTTAACAACCTAACATCAACCCCAATTAGAGAAACGTGTTAATAATTTATTAATAGTGCAAGAAACTAAATACAGCACATACTTATAAATTTCCAACGGGCCATTATGATCTACAGGCTAGGTGGCAATCGCCACTCGTCCCCCCGTGCCAGTCCGCCCCTGAATGTAGTAAAACTAATAATAACAGTCATTAAAAGCATTGATTAACTTGCAATGAAAAATCCATTTCTTACACAAATAAATCATTGCATACCAATTTTTTTAAATTAAATACGTAACGCATCTATAAATTGAGAGCTATATTAGCTTTTTGTACCCACCGCTTAAGGGGCTAAAACGTCATTGAGTAGATTAAAGAATTAAAGTATGCAGAGTAGTGCAAAAACTATTAGAAAGAACTAAAATCTATTGAAAATACTGCGCCCTCGACTTGGTAAAGTCCAAGTTAAAAGTTGACCCCCTAATAAATCGATTTCCAACTAACAGAAAAATGTTCCAAATTTGTATTGAACCACATTTCATTCTCTCCCTTTCAGGTACGTAGCTAGGAGCTTAAGAGGAACCAAATAAAGTAAAAGAATGCAACCGTAAAGAAGAACAACACCATTTCAATTATATCCAATTGCTCTTAAAAGCTCTCAGTTCTGAACCATATGAAGAATCGTACATGGTTTTCAGATTATCAATTTTTCGATTCAGAAGAGTGATAATAGCAATGATAGGTAATCAAATTTACTGTCAAGACAAAAAGTTCGTGGTGTCAAATTTGAAGCCGAGTAAATTCAATGCAACTGAATACCGAACAATCCTGGAGATCGTTTTTGAGCTATTACTTTTTGACCCAATAGTCTACGTAGGTGAAAAACAAAAGCGACCTTTCTAATATCATTAACCCTTCAGTGGTGACGCACGGTCTCTCAGACCGACGAAAAGTATTTTTCAAATTTTTGTAAAAACGGCGCAGCGCATGGCACTGCTAGTTCTGCTAGCTTAATATTTTGCGTGTCTGAGTTTAGTACCAGACCTCGTACCAGACGAACAACTTGATGAAGCAAGCCGTTCTTTGACAATTAACCCTTTCGGTTTGTCAGACCGACGTCACCATTGGTGTACCTAAAAATTCAAGCTGCCACTGCACATTCTTTTAAACAGAAATCAAGAACAATTCGGAAATTTGGGTATATTTAGTGCCGTGAGTAATTGGCCGCTTTCCGGTGCATCGCCGCCATTGATGCTACGAAAATTCTAGTCAGCGCAGCATTGCAACGCGCATCCCCCCGTAAGCTTAGTATTGTGTATAATTCAATTTTGTTGTTATGAAGCTCTGGATAGGACACATAGGAAATTATTTTGTAAATTACAGTTGTAACTGGGAATTAGTTTATAATTTACAGTTGTAATTGTCAATTGCACTAATTTACAGTTGTAACTGGGTATTATCCTTGACAGTTACAACGGCAAATTAGTTTAATTCCCAGTTACAACTGTAAATTAGTGTAATTCCCAATTACAACTGTAAATTATAAACTAATTCCTAGTTACAACTGTAAATTAGTATAGTTCCCAGTTACAACTGTAATTTACAAAATAATTTCCTATGTGTCCTATCCAGAGCGTCGTAAGTTATGTTACAAGAATAAAATTTATTTTTTCGATTTATA